CTCTCAGCTAGCAGTTCCCTTACAAAAAATCCAATACATTTGGCAGTGTGCTGTGGCTCAAGCCTGTAATCCCAGCACTTTGGGAGGCCAAGGCGGGTGGATCACAAGGTCAGGAGATCCAGACCATCCTGGCTAACATGGTTGAAACTCCATCTCTACTAAAAATACAAAAAAATTAGCTGGGCGTGGTGGCGGGTGCCTGTAGTCTCAGCTACTCAGGAGGCTGAGGGAGGAGAATGGTGTGAACCTGGGAGGCGGAGTTTGCAGTGAGCCGAGACTGCGCCACTGCACTCCAGCCTGGGCGACAGAGCAAGACTCCCTCTCAAAATAAAAAAAAAATAAAATAAAATCCAATCAATTCCATCTAACCAAAATGCTAATTAATAATCATTTAATAAAGGAGTGCCCAACTTCTTTACAGTACAGTACAGTGGACCAGTACTGGTCCATGGCCTGCCAGGAACCAGGCAGCACAGCAGGAGATGGGTTATGAGCAAGCATTACTGTCCTTGCTCTGGGCTCCAGGTCCTGTCAGATCAGCGGTAGCATTAGATTCTCACAGAAGCGCGAACCCTATTGTGCTGTGCATGCAAGGAATCTAGGTTGCATGCTCCTTATGAGAATCAACTAATGCCTGATGATGTGAGATGGAAGTTTCATCCTGAAACCATTTCGCCCACAACTAAACCATCCGTGCAAAAATCATTTCCTACCAGACTGGTCCCTGGTGCCAAAATGGTTGGAGATCTATGATTTAATGGATTTCCCTTCCCAGAGGGAAATCCTTTTAATAACGACTTTGGCCAGCCTGGGCAACATGGTAAGATCTCATCTCTACAAATTAAAAAAAAAAAAAATCAGGTGTGGTGGTGTATGCTTGTGGTCCTAGCTAATCGGGAGGCTGAGGTAGGAGGATCACCTGAGCCCAGGGAGGTCAAGGCTGCAGTGAGCCACGATTGTGCCACTACACTCCAGCCAGGGCGACAGAGTGAGACCCAATCTCAAAAAAAAAAAAAAGTTAAAAAGATAAAAAGGACTTCTGAAGACCTCAGTGACAGATATGTTAAGGAAATCTAAGGAATCTAAAAACTACTCTGATACCTCAAGTCAGTGACATGGGTGACCACATCTATTGCCTATGTTTAACACAAACCTTGTTAAGGAGACCAAATCAATGAATGTGAGGGTGAGAGTTGCCTTAAAAATCATCTAGGTCTCTGAGTCATGATTCTTGAACTTGGCTACACACTGGAATGTCCAACTCCCAGAGGAGATACCCAAAGAAGCAAATTTCAAAGTCAGTGACAAGGCCAGGCCTAATACCCAGGCCTAACATTATGTGCTGATATGTATACATACATACATATATATACACACATGCATACACACATAAATATATATAACATACTAAAAATATAAAGGCATGTATGGGAAGGACAAATATCCAATTCATGGCAGTGGTTACCTTTTGGGGGATGGGAAGGGAGTATAATTGAGAAGAAATACACGTGGTGGCGTCAAATGTATTGGTAATATTTTTATTAATATTTCTAATTTAAATAATTTAATAATTTAATAGATACTTAAGTATACTTAAGTATCTATTAAATTAGGCTCTGTTCTCTTTTTTTGTTTTGTTTTATTTTTATTTTTGTTTCTTTGAGGCAAGGTCTCACTTTGTCATCCAGGCTGGAGTGCAGGTGGCACAATCACAGCTCACTGAAACCTGCCACTGCGGGGCTCAAGCAATCCTCCCACCTCAGCCCCACAAAGTGCTGAGATTACAAGGCGTGCACCACCGCAGTAGGCCCTCTTTATCTTTTGGATGTCTAAAATTTTGTAATAAAAAAGAATAAAAAGATGGTATATAATCAAATGGATACCATGTTATGAATTCAGTGAAATATCTCAGGCTAGAAAGTACTCAGAAAACATACTTGATGAGGTAGGCTTTGAAGGAAGAATAAAACATAGATTATTCTTCAGGCAAAAAGTAACACAAACTTTTCTAAAGGAAAAGTGTGAATAAAGGCAAAGCTGGGAGTACCCACAGCCTATAACATAATTAAAGAACAGTGGGGGCCAGGCACGGTGGTTCACGCCTGTAATCCCAGCACTTTGGGTGGCAGAGGCAGGTGGATCACCTGAGGTCTGGAGTTGGAGACCAGCCTGGCCAACATGGCTAAACCCTGTCTCTACTAAAACACAGAAATGAGCTGGGCATGGTGGCGCCCACCTGTAATCCCAGCTACTCAGGAGGCTAAGGGACGAGAATCGCTTGAACCAGGATGGTGAAGGTTGCAGTGAGCCGAGATTGCACCACTCCATCTCAAAACAAAACAAAATAAAACAAAACAAAATAGTTTTGAAAACCACTAAAGTGCCCAGCTAGAAGGTACTGCTGCAATTCAAAAGTGAGGGTCATAAAACCATGGAATGGGTTTTATGGGGTAGTACTCTTGAGAAAGAAAAGAGAAAAAATTAATCCACCAACTTTTCAATAGAAAATTTGATAGGCTCTAGTGACAAACTAGATGGATTAATGAAAGAGTAAGACCTACCTCAAAAAATGAAAAATGCCAACTGAGCAGCAGCTTCTAGTCATACCTGAACATCAACAACATCGATAAGGCCATGTAAGCACTAAGGAAGTGTTATTCAAGGCAGAAAAGCAAAATGGCACTTTTATAGGCATTATGAGCAAAATAAGCAACAGAGACCAGGAGATTACAGAAAAAAGAGGACCACTACATCATGGAATAAGAAAGAGAGTTTCGAAAAGAGCCATCACTGTATACAATGAGAGGGTGCACAGCCTTTGTAGCCAATCAGATGCAGAATTCTGGCACCTTCTCCACTTGACCAAGTTATTTAGCCTCTTTGAGCCTCATATAATAAAGAAAACATAAGTTAACAACTAACACTGTTGAACACATATGGGCTTCGAATATATTGGTCAAATTTTATTTCTTAAGCTCAGTTGTGATACACAAACATTTATTAAATTAGTCCCCATTATCTTTTGTTGTTTTTGTTTTGTTTTTGTTTTTTTTGAGACAGGGTCTTACTCTGTCCCAAGTGCTTTACATATCACCTCATTTAATCCTCACAATACATTTCCACAGATGGAAAAATTAAACTTAGAACTAGCATAATAAGTAGCAGTGCCAGGATTACTATTTCTTAGGATTTAAATAATGTATATTTAAATTTCCTGGCAAACAGGATGACCTCAAAACGAGTAGCTATATTTCATTATTAGGAGATAATAATCAATAGGGACAAAACTGCCAGTAATTCCTGTCATAGCCTTCCATGTGGCAAACTCCCTCAACATCCTCATCTATAAATTAAGATTAATGCCTATAATCCAAGCTACTCCATAGGGTTGCTGTGAGGATTAAATATTATGAATACGAAAATTCTTAAAATGTTGAGACATTCAAATATAAGGGATTGCTGTCACATACCTTTTGCCTTTTCAAAATGCCTTTGTGGCATTTTTGTTCACTACTTCAAAATAAGACTCTCTGAATAAGCTAAAAATAAGTATGTTAAATGTGCAACCACCACTTTGAAAAGTATAAATCACCACAGAATTACCGCCTACACCTGCCCCTGACTCCTCCAGGTTCTCTAATGTCTCTACAAGGGCAAGGATTCTCTTACACCTATAATGAAACTCTGATAACTTACAGTACAGCTAATCAATAGAGAGCTGCACTTCAGTTGTTCGAACTGGCCTATTGTGTTTTCTCAGAAGTGCTCCTTCCAGTTCTTCCAGAAAAGAAAAAAGTGCCCAATTCTCTTACATTGTATTAAAACGGTGCCCAGTGAGTAGAATGCAGGTAACTTACGAAATGCTAGAAAATAATCTATCAGTTGACTTACTCAAGGGCTCTGACAGCAGGTCCCTTTTGGAAACTCCTTCACGACTCCCCCCTTTTTTCACCTGAACAGATGGCTTCCAGGCCTCAAGGTTCACATGTCTAGTCACACAATTCACAATAGCCCCCAAAGTTCCTACCTTTTCAATTGTCCTATGTTCTTGAACACACCTTTCATCTAAAGATCTCCAGTTGTCAAAGCAAACGATCTCTTTAATCTTCTCTTTAATCTTCAGCACTATCTGAGAGATTACTATCCTTATTTTATAAGTTAAAAATGAAAGACTGAGTAAATGTTTTAGCAACATCAGACAATTCGTTAACTCATTCTTGGGAAGAGAGGAATATATATTATGAACTTCTGTCAAGGGACAACCTAGATTTGGCTTCCTAAGATCATCGCAAATATTAGCTCAAACACATCCCACTCTTGTATGCACACATTTCCAACACAGGTATCAAAGATTAAATATAAACCATTAATAACAGTAAATACCATACCAAAGCAGCACTATTTTTACACGCAAATCTATATTGGGGGAGGGGGTTCTAATTTAAACTTCCCACTGTCTTGAATCCATAAATACTTTTGAACTTGAGGGGTTAGGCGGAGGAACACCTGTCAGAGCAGCACATCCACAATGTTTTACAGACTGTGTAGCTATTAATATTTAAGTCCTTAAGCCGTAAGCAAACCACCTTCTCAAAAAAAACAAAAGGCAGTATTATGCAGAACATCTGACAAGAAAGTCTACGTGGTTGTAAGAAGACCAATAATTCCCTGGTTTTAAGTCTCCCAGACTTTGTGAACTTGCTACGAGGGATCACCCCACCCGCCCCGGGAGGTCAGGCCGCAGGGAGCCCGGCGCTGCCCACCCGACTTTCCACGCGCCAGGCCCGCCGGCCGCAGGGGAGGTTCCGGCTCCCACTCCCCTCAGGCCCCCTCGCCCCGTGGATGGACTCGGCGGGACACTCGGACCCGCCTCCCGACCTCGGCGCGCCCGTCTCAGGGCCCGGCGGGCAGGGAGAGGGTCGCAGCAGGGCCTGGCCTAGCCACCCCCGCCCCGCGGCCGCCGGCGCCGCTTCCCTCCTTCCCGCTCCCCGATTCGTTACCTCTTAGGTGCCGGCGGCTGCTCCATGGCGGCCGGGGGCAGAGAGAGGGACCTGGTGGACTGCGAAGGCCGAAAGGAGGAAAGGAGACCGGGCACCGGCTGGCCGAGCCTAGGGAACCACAGAGGGAAACTCTGGGAACTCGGACCAACTTTCCCGTAACTCCGCGGCGGATCTCCCTCCCGCTTCGGAGCGCTGCTCCTACCGCCCCGCCCCCGGCCGCCGGTCGCCTGCCTCCGGCAGCGGCCCAGAGAAGGTGGGCGGAGCCGGGCGCCGCGGCGGGGGGCGGAGCCTGCCGCGGCCTGGGCTGGCGGGCGGTGCCGGTGCCTCGGCGGGTGGGCGGGGCCGGGGACGAAGGCCGGGCTGACCCCAGAGCCCCGTGACCGGGAAAAGGAGGAGGTTTGGCTAGAGCGAGGGGGCGAGGCCGGAGCCGTTCTAGGGTGGGGAAGGGCGAGTCCCTCCGAGCTGGCCCAGTGCTCCGCCCCTCGCTTGCCCTCGATACGGTTTGCCCTGATCCAATTTGACTCATTTCTTTGGCTTTCCCAACGATACATCCAAACATCGTGTGAATCCGTTTGAAGTATTACTTTCTAACTGCCCACGCTTCCCTCTCTAGTTCTGTTTATAATTATCGGTTATGTTTTTCCCCCAGCCATTTGGCATGTGTAGGCCGCAGTACTAGGGATACTTCTGGAAATTCTTGTTTGATTTTTATTGTAGACAAGCTCCTCGCTACATTTCACAATAATTACATCTAATTACCGAGAAAATAATTAATGCAGTGAGATCTCTCGGTGCACCAAATTCAGTTGCACTGGGTCCTTGCAGCTGTCCCATTGGGTAACCTGGCAAGCCTGTTACAAATTATGGTGCCAAGAAGAATACTCAAGAAAAGTGTGCTTGGTTCCCTCTTTGGTCCTCTCCCCTAACCTGATCCCAGTAGTCCTCATCCCATTGTAATTTGACCACTGCATGCATCCATATTGTGGGTATACTTTTAACCTTAAATTCCATGTATAGATACCTTTCACATAACAATATACAGCTGCTACATGAGTTTACCTGTTTTTGTCAGAAATTGTCAAGATGGGCCGGGCGCGGTGGCTCATGCCTGTAATCCCAACACTTTGGGAGGCCAAGGCGGGCGCATCACTTGTGCTCAGGAGTTCAAGACCATCCTGGCCAACATGGTGAAACCTCGTCTCTACTAAAAATACAAAAGTTAGCCGGGCGTGGCGATGCGCCTGTACTCCCAGCTACTTGGGAGGCTGAGGCAAGAGAATCACTTGAACCCAGGAGGCAGAGGTTGCAGTGATCCGAGATCGCACCACTGCACTCCAGCCTGGGTGACAGAGCAGACCTTGTCTCAAAAAAGAAAAAGAAAGAAAGAAATTGTCAAGATGTAGAGTTATATAGAATTTTCTTGGAGGTTAGAACAATAAATATGAAGATAATGCTAAATAAAGGAAATGAATTTGAAGAGAATGTTGAATAATTGAATATTTGCCCAAATTAAACTTGACTATTAGCAGCTAATACAAGTTTAGTTTAGTCCTCTTGTTGCATCAAGTTTCACTATGTAATAAACTTACATTATTTATTTTCAAACCATTATATTCTTCCCCAAATGTAGTTATTTTAAGACCATTCATTTTTGAAACTCAAATTCTGAGAACAAGAAAAAGGGTTTTTTTGTTTTGTTTGTTTGAGACAAGTTCTCACTGTCCCCCGGTCTGGAGTGCAGTGGTGTGATCATGCCTCTCTGCAGCCTCAACCTCCTGGGCTCAAGTAGCTGGGACTACAATGCCCGGCTACAAAATTTTATACTTGTTTGCATTTATTAAATATCCACAGTCTGACTGTTCAGAAATAACAGGACAACAACAATTTTAAAACCTAATATTTAAAATGTTAAACCTGAGAAGAATCTTTGAAATTACCCCACTCTAACCCCCTGACTCTCATCTTCACTTCCATGGCATACTCCCATCTTTTTTCTTTTTTCTTTTTCCACTCTTGTTGCCCAGACTTGAGTGCAATGCCGTGATCTCGGCTCACTGCAACCTCTGCCTCCCTGGTTCAAGAGATTCTCCTGCCTCAGCCTCCCTAGTAGCTGGGATTACAGGCACCCACCACCATGCCCAGCTAATTTTTTGTATTTTTTAGTAGAGACAGGGTTTCACTATATTGGCCAAGCTGGTCTTGAACTCCTGACCTCAGGCAATTCACCCACCTCAGCCACCCAAAGTGCTAAGATTACAGGCATGAGCCACTGTGCCAGGCTCACTCCCATCTTTTTGTGTTTCATCAGAGAAACCTCTTGAGGAAGGCTGGGCGAGGTGGCTCACACCTTCAACCCCAACACTTTGGGAATCCAAGGCAGGCAGATAGCTTGAGCCCAGGAGTTCGAAAACAGCCTGGGAAACATGGTGAAACCCCATCTCTACAGAAAAAAAATACAAAAAAGTAGCTGAGCATGGTGGTATGCATCTGTAGTCCCAGCTACTAGGGAGGCCAAGGTAGGAGGATTGCCTGAGCCCAGGAGGCCAAGACTTCAGTGAGCCATGATCAAGCCACTGTACTCCAGTCTGAGCCATAGAGTGAGACCCTGTTTCAATAATGAGAGAGAGAGAGAGGAAGGAAGGAAGGAAGTAAGGAAGGAAGGAAGGAAGGAAGGGAGGGAAGGAGGGAGGGAGGGAGGGAGGGAGGGAGACAGGAAGGAAGGAAGGAAGGAAGGAAGAAAATAAATGATCTCTGAATTGTTTTACTAACTGTAATCTCCAGGGAGCCTTTCCCAGTCAAACCACCAGCACCATCACCCACTATCTGTCACATTTAAGTTGTGAAAGAGATACCCGTCTTGTATATATGTCCATAGCAGCCCATGTTGGCTTTTCTATGAAACTTTTCACACTATATTGAAGTTCTGTTGTTAGACTGTCATCCCAACCCAACTATGAGTTGATTGAAAGTTGAGCCATATCTTTATTCTCTATACCTTGCATAGCAAGTGCCTGATACATCGTAAAGGCACTGGGCTAGATAGCTTCCTTTTGGTCCTGCAGATTCATTCTCCATCCTTTTCCATCTGCTCTCTGCTCTGAGAACTAACATGTATGGCTGACATCAGAAGCCCCTTGGCTTATGGTTGGGTCCGATGATAGACCCAGCAAAAGATCATCTGAGGGAGAAAGGAGGGTGAGGTCAGACTATTGGATGCCCTGGTTCCCTTCCTGTGAGGTGACCTAGGGCTAGCTGTGTTCCAGAGAATCATGGCTCTTTGCAAGGCAAATTACTCTACCTAATTATCCCTCCTTCCCCTTGACCCTTTGGGCCTAAGTGTCATGGCTGCTCTCCTATTCCCTGGGTTTCTTCTCTATGTCCTGTGTTCCCCAACCTCAATCCTCAACTGATGCTTTGTAAATTAAACTCCTTCAATTGACCCTAATTTGATTGTACCTTCTAAAGGGCTTACGATCCTGACTCATACACCCATAAAGAATTGTGGAAGGAGGAGGAATACTATCAGAAAATAAATTTCTGAGGTCTTTCCTCAACTTGAAAAGGGAGAAGGCTAATAATTATCATACAACTCCAACAGGATCAGACACTTGGCCTCCATTTTCTTATTAAACCCTTAAAACAACCTTGTGAAGTAGTTACTTCCATTTTATAGGTGAGAAAACTGAGGTTCAAAAGTGTGAAAGGAGTTACCTTAGGAAAAACAGAATGTCTGTGTTCTAATCCAGGCCTTTATGACTCCAAAGCTGGGCCTCATTCCACTGTAGATCAGTCAACAAATATTTATTGAGCACTTAAGTATGCCAGGCACTGTTCTAGGTGTTGGAGATTCATCAGTAAAGAGACGAGACGACAAATAGACAAAAATCCCTGCCTTCAGGGGGTTTACATTCTGGTTGGGGAAACATAATAAGATTAAAAAAGTACCTTGGGTCATGTTAGAGATTGAAAACTGGTAAGGAAGAAACATGAAATGGAAAAAGGGAATATAAAGTGGAGGGGAAGAGGCCGGATGCGGTGGCTCACACCTATAATCCCAGCACTTTGGGAGGCCAAGGTGGGCAGATCACTTGAGGTCAGGAGTTTGAGACCAGCTTGGCCAACATGGTGAAACCCCGTCTCTACTAAAAAAATACAAAAATTAGCTGGGTGTGGTGGTGGACACCTGTAGTCCCAGCTACTTGGGAGGTCAAGGCAGGAGAATTGCATGAACCCGGGAGGCGGAGGTTGCAGTGAACCAAGATAGAGCCATTGCACCCCAGTCTGGGCAACAGAGAAAAACTCTGCCTCAAATAAATAAATAAATAAATAAATAAATAAATAAATAAATAAAAATAAAGTGGAGGGGAAGTGATGAATTTCAGGTAGGATGGCAAAGGAAGGCCTCAATGAGAGAGTGACTAAGGAAGTGGAGGCCAGAGCCATGCAGACAGCCTGACTGTGAGGCCAAGGGAATGTTAGAATGTGAGGCCAAGGGAACAATAAGCGCTAAGGCCCAGAGGCAGGAGTGTGCCTGGTGTGTTGTGTGTTACTGAATAAAAGGAATTGTTTTTCTCCTGAATTATTCAGAAGAAGAAAAAAAAATGCTTCAAGCTTCTGTTTTACTTTGTCTGTGGAAAACCAACCTGAAGATTCCAGGAAGAAAGCATAGAAGTCATCATTCAAACTGCAAATAAGAACATGAACAATGAAAGCTGCAGGAACATTTGAGTTACAGATAGGGGTCACCCAGCTTCACTCAACTGTGAAAGTAAGGTAATCGGCCGGGCACGGTGGCTCACGCCTGTAATCCCAGCACTTTGGGAGGCCGGGGTGGGTAGATCACGAGGTCAGGAGATCAAGACCATCCTGGCTAACACCGTGAAACCCCGTCTCTACTAAAAATACAAAACAATTAGCTGGGTGTGGTGGTGGGAGCCTGTAGTCCCAGCTACTCAGGAGGCTGAGGCAGGAGAATGACATGAACCCGGAAGGCAGAGCTTGCAGTGAGCCGAGATTGCACCACTGTACTCCAGCCTGGGTGATGGAGCAAGACTCCATCTCAAAAAAAAAAAAAAAAAAAAAAAGGAAAGTAAGGTAATCGGTTTCTGCTTCCATCAGCTCCATTTGGAATCGAGATTAAAGATACACTTTAATTATGCTAGCAAACAGCTAATTACAATTCTCAGTTGAGTGCTCTAACAGAAATGGGAGAGAAATTTGCAATTTGAGATCCAGTTCCTT